TAAGCAAGATATTCGATGAGGTATTCATCTAGGTACTTCGAGAAAGGGGTAGGGTGTGACCCTCTCAGGCACAGTAGGTACTAAGGGCCCCAACGGGAGATACTAGACTACTTGGACCTTCTGGGAATCCTAAGCCGGTTCATCATGCTAAAGTCTGCTTATTAGGAACTGTGGAGCTTCGCGTTGCGGGCTGAGGCTTAGGGCCTAGGGCGTCACCACAGTGGCGTCATGCTTCCTCAGGGTTTAGGGCTGTAAAGGGTTTAGGGTTTAGGGTTGTAAACTACAGGGTTTAAGGTTTAGGGCAGTTTAGGGTTTAGGGTTGCGAAGTGAATTATAATTACACTTGCCCCAAGAATACCAGCACTAATGAATGGATGAAACCCAAAGTCGGCTACTACCCAGTACTATCCAGCATGGAGGCCAGCAGAAGATTCAGGGAATTTCTGTGGTCGCGCACCATAAAGTCATAAAGGTCCAAGCACTGAGTCTTCATATACCCTTCCCCTTAAATCAAACATGCCGCGTACACATGAAAACAAGATAACTAGTATTTCCCTAAACCCACACACTTAACCACAGGGTGCCGGGACTGGAATGGACGCTTCGGGACAACCGTTCTGGGTGAACTAATTAAGTATCAATGCCAGCAGGAATACACACAACACAGAAATCTACGTAGAGCAGCTACTGCAGTCCCTTGTCATGGCTGCCTGGTTTGCCTGTGATGGGACCCTACCCAAGAACTGGTACCTGCACTGCGAACGACGCATACCTGCGAGAACATCCCTAAACCCTAAACTCGAAACCCTACATCCTAAACCCTAAACCCCAAACCTCCCTCCCCTCCCCCCCAAAAAAACATGGCCAGGGCACCATCCTTCATGAAAGCCGCAAAGGCCGAGGCAGTCGTGTAGACGTCCCTGTTTCATGGAGAGCCCAAAGCCGATCGTAGGGCTATTTTAGGCTTCAGGGTTTAGAGTTGAGGGATTTGGGGGTTTAGGGATTGGGGATTTTAGGATTTAGGGGATTTAGGGTTTCGGGGATTTAGGGTTTAGGGATTTAGGGTTTAGGGTTTAGGGGATTTAGGGTTTAGGGATTTGGGGATTTAGGGTTCAGGGTTTAGGGCTTTGGGGATTGAGGGTTTAGGGTTTAAGGTTTAGGGTTTAGGCATTTGGGGATTGAGGGTTTAAGGGTAAAAGGTTTAGGGCCAGATGCCTCATAGTTCGGAGTCTCTTATTGCAGGGTTGCACGCGATTTGCCTGCAGGGTGTGTCGAGGGTTTTTACGGTCCCTTGTTAAGGATCCCTAACGCAATCTGCAAAGGCCATTGTAAACCCTAAACTTCCTAAACTCTGCAACCCCAGCACCTAAACGATCTGACCCTGCACCCTGAACCCTGTATTTCCTAACTTCCTAAACCCTAAACCCTCGAAGACGCGGACTCCCAAGCAGGCTCTGCCTGATGGCTTGCCGCCGAAGCTCGCTTGCCACCTCTGGGGGTCCAAACTAAACCTTACCCAGAGGGTCCATATACTCTACCATTATGGAATTAGGTCCCAAAAGACCATCCCCATTATGTTTCTGGGGACCTAATTCCATAATAGTAGTACACGTGGACCCTCTTGGTTATGGCGCTTCATGGGCAGGGGACCCTACTTGAAGGATCATGGGACTTAGTAACTAGGGTTATAAAAAAAGCTACCTACACTTACATATAGTTACTTATAATATAACCCCCAATTACGGTACTTCTTATAACCTTGCTTACTAAGTCCCATGACCCTCCAAGTATATGGGCATTCCTTGTCCTAAGCTTTGCTGGTCTGCTAAGGGCTTACTTACTATAGGCTCATGGGACGTAGTAGGTACGGTGAAAGATTATACTCAGGATAACCCTACTTAGGGCACTTGTACCCCCAAACATAGTCCTACTACTGATGATATAAATGCCGCATGACCTTAAGGACCCTAAGCTATGGGAATTATGGTATGTTCCTTAATTATGGGCAATGCAGGATTCATATCATCAACCGTACTTGAGTTTGGAGCCCTCAAGTAGGTCTTGGCATGGTCTAAGAGAAAGCCTAGAGTAGACAAAGCTTGGCCCTAGGCTCTCGGGGAGAAGGATTTAGGGTAAAGGGTTGGGCATTTTGGGTTAAGGGGTTTAGGGTTTAAGGTTTAGGGTTTAGGGGTTTGGGGTTTAGGGTTTAGAGTTTAGGGTATAGGGGTTTGGGGTGAAGCACGCGAGGCCCGCAATTGCAGTTCCTTGGTGAGTCACTGTCTTATTCTTATAGGCCCATGCCCAGAAGTTGGGTCATCCCATACAGTAACTAACCCTAAACCCTAAACCCGCTACAAGTCAAGGTCTAGGCGACACCACGGCACGCACCGGGGATAGGCTTGGGATGTAGCTTAGACCTGGTCAACTTCAACCCTTGGACAAGGAGACTCCTGGTGTAAGGGAACCCAAACTGAATCCTGAACGAAGTCGGCTTCCCCTTATAAACTCTACCCATAGGCCCTTAAGTAGTTCTTCTTCATGGTTTATATACAGAATCCTATAAGGGAATCTCAGAAAGGAACTACTTAAGGGGCCTATGGGTAAACCCCAAACTTTCGACCCCTAAGCCAAAGCCCAAACTGTTAAACTTGGAATAGACCTCTCGGACAAGGCACCCGTGACGCATCACCACCATCAACGCTGGAGCCCCATGCAACTACGTCGCCATCCTGGATCGGATTGGAGGAGCTCCAGACCGTGGATTGGAGGAATTCGGGGCTTACAGACTACGGCCCTAAACCCTATAAGCCTGAAAACTACTGTTGATGATATACATCCTGCAGTACCTTAAGGACTCTAAACTATGGGAACTATGGTATATACCTTATATTGGGTAATGCAGGATTCATATCATCAACCGTAGCCCACGAACAAGCAGTTCAACTACTAAAACTACCAAAAGCCCTTGGAATCCTGTCGACCGTAGGCAGAAGTCGAACATCGGATGCCATGCTACTTTTACCCTGAAAGCAACACCTCTGGGCTCCAAATAGCCGAAAGTAGGTACTATTTGTGGCACTTTGAACATTAGACCCTAAGCTAGGTGCTATTTATAGTCGTGCATGTGAAGCGATTTTGGGCTTACCCTGTTCTAGGTTCAGCCTAGAGTTTACGATGCATAGCAGCCCCACCAGTATACGTTAGGGTTGGCTATGGTAGAATCTGGTAGGATGCCCGGGTCCGAGATGCAGAAACCGGGCCCGAGATGCAGAAACCCGAAAACAAAAGGAAGCGCCAAAAAAAGCATGGACATAGATTACATGCTTGTCTATGAACAATAAGGCTGAACAGGCTGAACATGTGTGCGGCATCAGGTTGGAGGCAGCATATCTACTTCAACTGCTACTGCAGCAACGTGTTGCTCAATAGGACGGCAGAGAGCTTCCGAGCAGCCGGCGCGAGCCGCTACAACTGCGTGATCAGCTTATTTTAAGGTTCCATGTGCACAAATAGTATATACTTAGGCCTGAAAGTACTTCTATATATATATACATATATATATATACAGGTACTTTAGAACCACAAAAGTTTATATAAGTACAGGGACCCTTTGGGCTAGCCTGCAGTCCGGCACTCGAAACCTCGACGTTCCAGGGGGTGGATGAGAAAAGCGATGCAAGAGCTTCTTCGGCTTTGCGCTTTTGTTTTTTCTTTTCTTCACAGCTTCGCGGCTTTCTTTGGAAGAGCACGAGCTGCCCTTGGCAGCTGCGGCTGCACCGTTTGCTGAGCAAGTTGCGAAGCAAACGCAGCCCGAAGTGTCCCAAGAACCTTTATCGGATTTATGGGGCGTACTCACAGACTTACAGAAAGCATCCGGAAAATTTCTATCGTAGAAACCTTGTAGCTTTTACTATCAAAATAAACTCTTTGGGTGAGTTCGGATTTTGAGGAAACCCTGCCGACGATCTTGGCACAAAACTTGCTTAAAACTTGGCTGCTGCAGCATGAACCCTGACCCAAAATCTGTACTGCTTAACCCTATATGCTAAACCTTAAACCCGAAACCCTAAACCCTAAAACCCTAAGCCACAAAACCCCTAAACCCTAAACCCTCAACCCGCTAAGCCCTACCGGCAGGCCTCTTTGATCGCGACGAAGGCTCCTCAGTATGTGAGAGCGCACGTGGACGCCCGAGGCAATTGTCTCTCTTGGGGACCACCTATTCAGGCGTTCAAGGGTTTCGGGGTTTCGGGGTTTAGGGTTTAGGGTTTTGAGTTTAGGGTTTTGGGGCTCAGGGTTTAGGGTTAAGGGTTTAGGGAGCATTGTAGTTCTTTGTTTTGGTTCCAAATTTTGTGTTTGGGATCGTTAAAAGTAGCCCAGCAAAGGAACTACAATGGAGACTGTAGGCAAAGCAGGGTTTAGGGCTGAGGGTTTAAGAGTTTCGGGTTTAGTAAGGGGACCTGAATTTACCATAATCCTCCGCAACTCTGAGCCTTAACAAACCTGGGTGCGAGCCACAACCACTCGCCTCCACCCCCTACAGCCCTAACGCCCGAATTACCAATACCCCCAACCCCGTGAACTATCCTCACTTCAAGACCTTCTAGAAACACTAGAGGACGCGCATACAGAGCCCGTAAAGGGGACCACGATGGACCCTAAACCCTAAACCCTAAAACCCTAAACCCTAAAATCCTAAACCCTAAAATCCTAAACCCTAAAATCCTAAACCCTAAAACCCTAAACTCCAAAAAAACCCTAAACCCGCAAGGCCACGCCTTAAACCCCTCCCTCAACCCCTACACCCATCAACCCTAAGACTTTCCACCCCGAGCCCCGTTTCGCCCTAAAACCCCTAAATCCGTTTAGGGTTTAGGGGTTTAGGGGTTCAGGGGTTTAGGGGTTTAGGGTTTAGGGGTTTGGGGGTTTGGGGGTTGAGGGGTTGAGGGGTTTGGGGGTTGAGGGGTTGAGGGTTTAGGGGTTTGGGGGTTTGGGGGTTGAGGGGTTGAGGGGTTTGGGGGTTGAGGGGTTGAGGGGTTTAGGGTTTAGGATGGTTTAGGGTTTAGGGGTTTAGGGCTTGGGGTTGAGGGACCCCAACTCCCTCCCGCGGCCTTGTGTCGAGTAGATGTGCTGCACGCCCTCCCGCCTCAGGGCCCGAGAGTTTATCTAGGGCTTTACAAGGCATCAGAGAGCTTTAGACGGCTGCATCGGGTTTCCAGTGGCGTTTGTTGTTTGCTTGGTTTCCGGTGGTTGTTGTAGGGTTTCTGGTGGTTTGGTCAAGCTTCTCATAATTTTCATGAGTCGTTAGACTCTTAGACGGCTTCATAGAGTCTCTATGGATTGATTGGGCTTTCCAGGGTTATTACATACTACTATTGGGTTTGAGAAGCGGCCTAAGGGTTTGAAGCTCGGGTTCTGTCTTACAGGATTAAGGGTTGCGAGTCGAAGTGTCAGAATACTGGGTTCAGGTGAAGGGATTTAGGGATCTATAGTTAATAATATGGTTTCCTTATTATGGTAGTTTAAACTAAATCCCCTAACAAGAAACCAGAATACTGCATGCAGGGTTATAGCAGTTTGCTGCGCAGGTCCGTGTAGGTCTCCCAGATCTTCATCAGGGCTTGCAAGCTTTATCCCAAGGGTCCAAGCACCTAGGGGTTTTGGGGTTTAGGGTTTGGGGTTTAGGGTTGGCAATCATATGTTCTCGGAATACTAACCGTGACTAACCTACCAAACTACTATCCGTGACCCAAGTATCTCATTAATATCAAGCCCTTCGGACCCCCCAAAGCCCTGTTAAAAAAAAAAAACCTGCAAATCCCTCTCTGAACGCTTACAAGAACCCCTAAATTGTTAGGTCCTTTGGACCGTAAGGGTTACAGCTTCGGCATCCTTTTGTGTCTTCTGCACCCAGGCCTTCCAATATACTATTAAATTTAAGAATGGTTTAGGGTTTAGGGTTTAGGGTTTAGGGTTTAGGGTAGATCCCTTAAGTACGAAATATACCTTGAATTCATCATCTACGGGATCCCACTATACTTTAAGGAATATTACAGGAACTATCCCGTATCAAGGGACATACCTTTCATATAGGGGACCCCACTATAATTTAAGGAATACTATAGTTCATATCCTTTAACTAATCATAGTAGGATTCTTGACATGATTCAAGGTATGTTTCTTGATTGAGGGATATTGGCAGGTCCGGGCTTCATGCCTTAACATCCCTAAACTCTAAACCCTATACCCTCCCTAAGCCCTAAACCCTATAAGCCCCTAGTCATCCTAATGCTTTGAAAATCCTTTGGGGTCTCTTGTAGACTTTGCGCGAACCAACAAGCTCCCCAACCTCAAACCCAAACGGGTTTAGGGTTTAGGGTTCAGGGTTTAGGGATTAATAAGACTTGAAAACCCAATGAAACCATAGGAACCTCTGTAGAGTGAAACCTTTCACATACATAGCCAAAAACCTGACACCGCCTGGTTCACTTCCCTACGCAATCAAACTCTGCAGCATTCCACCCAAACAGCGCTTGTTGGAACGCGGGGCTTTTGTGACAACAAGCCTGAAAAGCCTGCTGCTAAAGCCTTACTTCAGCTTTACCTTGCTTAGTGGTCAGAAGACTTATCCCTGATGTAGTTGCAGTATGACACACCCCAAATTTCCATTCCCTACGTTTAAACATCACAATACCCCAGTCAGCCCGGAAGCCCTCGACCGGCTACCTAAAGCAGCCACAGCACAATTGGTCGGCCACACTGCCGCAGTTTCCTCCAGACAAGCCTCCAGTTTGTAGGACTTTCTGGGATTATCCGGTTGCATAAGGCCTTGTCAGGGAGTCTTTAGGATCCAGTGATCCATGAGGGATGTATATGTGTGTGTGTATATATATATACATACGTCTACCATATATATATATACATATGTAATATACACACATACATACACATGTATCTATGGTATGAACTGTATCTATGGTATGAACAGCGACAGATAGAGAGAGAGAGAGAGGGAGAGAGAGAGAGAGGGTCCGTCTCTGACAAGCATCATCCTGTTTATGAGCTTCAACAGCAGCCTCACCATAAACCAACGACGGCAAACAGTTTCATCAAGCTGGGCATGCATTCAGGAAATTTCCGTAACTAAAGTCTATGAACACAAAGCCCTAGACCAGTGCAGAATCCATAAAGAACCCCCATTACCCGTTGGTGAATTTCTTATGGAGTCCTTGTAGAAGCCTGTGAACACCAAACTTGTGGTAGCAGACGGAGGCCTTCTCCCCAAGTCACCACGGCACCACCCCGCTTCAACGCGGCGAAAGCACGCGATGAAGAGAAAATAAACCTCGTGTCCGCAGGTCCAGGTGTCGGATATGGGGCAGGGGGATCTCGCAATTCGGGCCCGGTTCAGTGTCCTTACGTAAGAATGACGCGCTACTTCGGCGGCCCGAAGCGGGAACCTCAGCACTTTGGGCTTAAGCCTCCTCTAGAACCAAAGCCCATAGCAACGCCAAATAGAAATCCAGGAGGATCCCTTAAACCTAAACGTAACTTGAGTCCCAAAGCCCAAGAAGACGTACACCTGCAAGTTGAAGTCGCAGTCCTAGACCGTTTCACATCCGGCCTTTCGAATCCGAAAGCTCGATGGCGGTTGCTTTTTTGGACGGTTTAGGGTTTAGGGTGGGCTTGTTACATAGCTTGGGACGTCGAGGTCTTGCGTCCTTCTCAACACCCGAGACTATGACTCCAAATAGTCACTTCGAAAGGTTGTGACACCGAGGCCCAGATTGACTCTCATTGTGGTATATTGCGGTAGAGGGGCTGGATCGCAGAATCAGTGGATTGGTTTTTGAAGGGGTCTGTGACTGTCTTTTGCCTGGGGCTGCTAAGGGTCCATGTGAATTCCTGTCCACTGCATCCCGCTGTCTTCTGAAACTCCATATGATGTAGCACTTATGATTGAGGGGCCACAGGGCTGAGGATCTTATTTAAGCACTAAACTACCCATAGGCCTCTAAGTAGTTCCTTTTTATGGTTTATATTTAGAATCCTATAAGGTAATCCCCAAGAAGGAACTACTTAGGGGCCTACGGCTAGACTTCCTTGTTGGCTGCCGGAGCAAGTGACTCCACGTCTGACTGCAGCTCTTTCGCTGCCTGGCATCCAGGACATTTGCGTTGACAGTTTTATGCTTTAGGGCTTTAGGGTTTTTAGGGCTTAGGGCTATAGGGTTTAGGGTATTATATAGATTGCTATGATTTTCAGGATTTCGATGCAGCTTTGCGAACTGATGTATGGGTTTACGTAGGATTGAAGATGGATCCATTGGCTTCTAGAGTGTCGTAGGGTAGAGCTTAGGGTTTGGGACATCAGGTTAAACATTTTGTGGGCTTGCAGGCTGGGTTCAAGGCTGCAGGTGATTTGCTAAACCCTAAACCCGAAGCCCTAAGCCCTAAACCCCAAGCCCTAAGCCCTAAACCCTAAGCTCTAAACCCTAAACCCAAGCCCTAAACCCTAAGCCCTAAGCCCTGAACCCTAAACGGCTTGAAGGCTTTAGGGCTTTGGGGCCCGGGTCTTCAGTCAACAAAGTCCTTACGTTGTCATGTAAACAAATATTCGTAAATATGATCCTCTTAGGCCCAAGAAGGGAGACTATGAAATATCCCAAAAGCTGACCTAAGATCTAGGATGTATATGCAGATAGCTGGAGTTCGAAAGCTTCAGGTCGACAGAGTGTCTTGCCGGTTGGGCTATGCGGCCTATGGCTGCAGACTCCCCGCCCTAAACCCTAAACCCTAAATCCTAAACCCTAAATACCCTAGACCCTAAACCCTAAATATCCTCAACCCTAAACCCTAAACCCTAAATTTAAATGCCCTAAACCCTAGCCTAAACTGCGGTAAATACCCTAAACCCGGCCTCACCCGGATCTCCACCACAGAGCTGGTCGCCCCAGCAAACCACAGAGCCTTCGATGGCTTGCCCATGGGGGTTTAGGGTTTATGGGTTTAGGGTTTAGGGTTTAGGGGTTTAGGGTTAGGGTAGCGAGTGACGACCTTTCGCACAGCTGCACGTCTTGTCGGCCTCATGGAGGCACACCCCAAAGGAAGGCCATCAGCCAGGCGCACCCCAGCGAAACGGCACAGGCAGCTCAGAAACTGCTGCTCAAAAAATCACTCTGACGAGGACAGGGCAGAAGGTTGCAACCCTAAACGCGCTCACAGCCCTCTCACGGCGACGATTCAGAAGAGGATGAAGCAGGGTTAGGGTTTAGGGTTTAGGGGTTTAGGGTTTAGAGGTTTAGGGTTTAGGGTTTCCAGTAAACGAAAGTTGCATGGGGGCTTTAGAAACCCAAGTGCGCGCACGGAACACCTTCAAACACACATCCCTGCTGCCACCCTAAACCCTAAACCCCAAAGCCCATACCTTAAATCTGAGATGGGCTGCCGTCGTTACACAGAGCTGCGAAGGCCCGATCCGTGTGGAAGATGCGCTTGACCTCACTAATTCAAAGGGTCAAAAGCACTTACATAGCAGAGAATAGGTTTAGGGTTTAGGGTTTAGGGTTTACCTCACTACATCAAAGGGTCAAAAGTACTGGCATAGCAGAGAATAGGTTTGCATAGCAGGAACTACCATCTATTTGTGGGTAAGTATCCCCTATATAGGTACTTGGCGCACTCTTTTGGGGACACCACGAATCAAGATATTGAAAGCGGATCTGGCACTTGATGGCAACTTGATGGCCTGTCCTTTGACTCCAGCGGTTTGGGGCCGAGGGATTGAGGGTTCCAACGTATCGACATGCAGACTACAGTCACGATTTTTTGAATATACGCATCCCTAAATACCAAAACAAGTATTTTATACTACCTCTGTTGGCTTCGGGCCCGCCATGGCGGAGCGCCCTCCACCCCTCCACCCCTCCCACCCTCCACCCCCACCCACCCCTCCTCCCAGCGAAGAATCAGACGGTGGCGGGGTGGTGGGGTGGAGGTTGGAGGGGGTGGAGGGAGGGAGTGGAGGGGTGGAAGGGGTGGAGGGGTGGGTGGAGGGGGAGGGGTGGAAGGGGTGGTGGAGGAGGGAGGGTAGGCTGGGCCGCTGGGCTGCTATGGTGTGGGTTGACTGAAACGGAAATTGGTTTGTAGGAATTGGGAAAGCTGTGTCCTGACCGAAAACAAAATATGTTGCCGGATGGCCAACAGCAACAAGCAACTTCTATTTATTTCTTTTTTGACGGTTTAGAGTTTAGGATTTAGGGTTTAGGATTTAGGGTTTAGGGTCCATACATACTACTTTTATGGAATTAGGTCCCCCAAAATCATAATAGGGATGGTCTTTTGGGACCTAATTCCATAGTTGTAGTGTTTAGGGCCAGGGAGCGAATAAGGCTTTTCCTGAAACGCCCGAGTTTAGAGCTAAGGGTTTAGGGACCATAAACGACTGCAGGGGACTCGAGGGTTTAGGGTTTAGGGCTTGAGGTGGTTTTATACACTTTCAGCCCTACTTTACTCTTGAATTAGCCGGCCTTGCCCTCATGAACAATAGGGCTGGAGGTGTTTTCGTTTCTTCTCTCCGTCCCAAAGCTTGAACCCTTAAGGCTAAAACCCGAACTCAACTACCTGAACCCCAAACCCCTCACCCCAAAACCCCCAAAACCTAAAACCCCAAACCCTCACCCAAAACCCCCCAAAACCTAAAGCCCCAAACCCCTCACCCTAAATCCCCAAAAACCTAAAACTCCAAACCCCTCACCCCTAAACACCCAAAAACCTAAAACTCCAAACCCTCCTAAACCCCCAAAAACCTAAAGCCCCAAACCCCTCACCCTAAACCCCCAAAAACCTAAAACCCCAAACCCTCCTAAGCCCAATTCCAGGGAGGGCCTGGGAGATCTGGCGGGGGGCCCGACCACCTGGGGAATGTATTAGGGCTTAAGGCTTATAGGGGCTAGGGTTTAGGGGTTATAGGGTTTAGGCTTAAGGGGTTAGGATAAAGGGGTTACGGTTTAGGGTTTAGGGTTGAGGGTGACCACCTCGGGAATCGTAGAGATTTTGAAGTTATATGGGTAGTTCTCTAAATTAGGGTCCCTTTGTTTTTTGGGCGCCGTACTTTTTTGGGGGACCCTAGTTTAGAGAACCACCCATATGCAGTATGGGGTTTCGGTTCAGGGTTCGTTTGAAGGGTCGCTTAAGGGCTCTATAGGGGTATCGTTGAGGTTTCCTGTAAAGTCGAAGGCCGGAAGCTGGAACATCATGATCCTCATGGCCTAAAGGTACAGTATGGCCCTACAGCATGGCGGACACCAGCACTTCACTTTTTAGGGACTGTAAGTGTGCACATGTTGTGTTGAACGGGCCATTATCCGAGATGATGCAATTCGATAAACTGCTGCAAGGCTTCATCATGCAGGTCTTTTAAATGTCTGTCTTATTCTTGTAAGGACTTGGCATAAAGAGACAGCATGCTTTTGGCCGTGGTCGCGTCGACACATCCTGCTGATCAGAGTCAACACAGTTACAATCCCGACCTGCAAGACATGGCTCTCAAGTTTAAGCTGGGGATCAGGGTTCAGGGGTTGTGGCCCGGGGTTGGGGCTTGGGATTTGCAGCGGTTTGAAGTTCCGCGGGTGGGGCCACGCGGGTTGTTTAGGGATTAGGGTTTAGGGTTTAGGGCTTAGGGGAGGATCGGGGATCTGAGCACAGGCTTTTCTGGCTCGGCAGTTGATATTACGAGGCGGAACAACGAGTGTTGGGACTCAGCGTTTCGACCTGGATTTAAGTTTGAAGGATTGGGCACACTGTAGAAAATTCCTGTAGCAAATTAAGAACCTTCCGTCCAATCCGACATGGAACATCATGGAACCATATACCCTCAACCCTAAACCCTAAACCCCTACGTACCCCTAAACCCTAAAACCCTAAAACCATGGAACCCTAAACCCTAAACCCTGAACCCTAAAACCATACTTGGCTTGCTCTGGTGCTTCATTCGGGTAGTTCTCTAAATTAGGGTCCCTTTCAGGGTCCTTTTTATAAGGGTGCCGTACTATATTGGGGACCCAAACAGGGACCCTACTTTAGAGAACCACCCATTCAGAGATTCGATGCACTTCGCGACTTCAACCGGAGGCTCGGAGGTTCCTCGCTTCGGGGCTCTGGATCTAAACGGCCCTATGGGTTGAGGATAGAAGAGCTAAAGTAGCTAAGGTTTAGGGATTACGGTTTAGGGGTTTAGGGTTTGAGGGGTTTAGGGGTTTAGGGTTTAGGGGTTAGGGGTTCAGGGGTTTAGGGGTGTAGGGGTTTAGGGGTTCAGGGGTTTAGGGGTGTAGGGTTCAGGGGTT